CCAAAACCCCAAAACCCCAAAACCCCAAAACCCCAAAACCCCAAAACCCCATGAAATGGGATTCTCATAAATAAAGTAGGACTAAATAATAAATTTTAAAATTGATCAATATGGATGTTGATAATAATATAAAACTTACTATAGATATCTTTAAATGGAAAAATAAGTCAATATTTCTGAATAGATCCAATAGTCTTATTTCATTTTATAAAGCAGTATCCCACATAAGCTTGTTGAACTACCACTATTCATAAACTTTAAGAAGATTTCTCAGTAAGTTTGCTTCACAGCTCCTTATAATACTGCTACTGTAGTGATAGAGGCTTCTGAATAGTTATCATGAAAAAATTCTCTTATTTATACTTTACCTTTTCTTGCATGACTGAGTGAAAAGGCACTTGCATTAGCAGAGAAGGCTGTAATTTCAAATAATTTAAAGTATGACCACATCTTCTTGTAAAATATGAATTTAATGGAAAATTAATACCACTGGCCTATCTTCTTATAAGATTGAAGAAAGTATTAATTACTAGCTATTTCGCATTAGACCAGCTAAATGCAGACACTGGATTCTAGACCATCAACATATCAGAGAGAAAAGGTATTATACATGTTCTCAGATTTAAATTACGCTGAATTACTCTGAATGACTCTTGTATTATTCAAAAGTTTTCAAGGAAGAAAGATATCAGCAAGTCTTAATGAAAAGTAAATTTTTTTAGTGGAAAATGCAATAGATTACAATCCTATGATGTTTTAATGATCAAAAAGAAAACGAGACAGACTAGATCATCGAATGCTCAAGTTCGAGACTGCTATTATGAAAAACTTGGTAAATTTGAGGCTTGTGGACAGAATAAAGAAACCAATACCTAAATGTGAAAAAGGTCATAAGACAGTCAAGACAACTTGAACTAATATTTCTATAAGTTAAAAGCTACTCTAGCTGTAGTAGTGATTTATTAAAAATTCGAAGACCTTCATAATATGATTTATAATAGTTAACCATTCTTGCATCTTAATCTCTTTGCACACCTTGTGCCACTTATAGTTGCTTTAAATTTCTTGTCCTTTTCCTTTCTGTCTATGTTGTCTTTACAATACTCCCTAGCAAAACAGAGCTCTCTCTGAATAGGCAAGAGCACTGATATTAAATTAGTCAAAGAGCCTCTATAAATAAACACCTTCACTTACTGGATAAACTTGAACGCCAAAATAATCTAAACTCACTTATTAAAATCATGCGATTTAAGCTTTAACTTAAGCTCGTACCTGATAATAGTTGAAGCAATGGTGTCCCTTCAGTAGTATAGAGCTAAATCAGCGAGTTTTCTTTAAAATAATTACTATTATTAGGGTGGTTATATTGCTACAATTAATGATTCATTATCAATTTTATCTTTATCTTTACCTGAAGGGGTTTTGGGGTTTTGGGG